ATATATATATATATATATTAATATTAAAGAGAGCTATTTTCCTAACATGGCAAGGCATACACTGAATTAGGTAGATATCTTTTATAAAATTAAGAATCCAATTAAAGTAAAAACTCAATTTAATTATACTGAAAAGAAAATAATACATTAGTAAGAATTATTTTATGACAATTGAAATAACAATTGCTGTACCTTGGGTCTGTGTCTGAAGTGCTAAACATTCTTCCAAATATGTGTCAACTGTAAAGACTTCACTGTAGTCCTTGTGAATATATAAGCCTTCCTCTACTTCAGTTTGGGAGTCTGGATTTGAACTTGGGACAATTTCTTCAAGCTCACCATTAACCTGAATCTCCATTCCTATAACTGTCCTATAACATTATAAAAAGTATTGATTTTTATCTACATTGTATTTTAAACTATTTTTTAATAGACAGTACATGTTCATTATGGTAAAAATTTATTCTAACAGATCCACAGCTTTGTCAAAGTCAATACAAAGGTTACACAAACTTTAAAGTTATTTTTGCATATTTAAAACTAAAGTGGATTTACAAAGATGGCATTTTGTTCTTTTCTGCTGAACAATGATGTGTGGGCATCTTTACACATCAGTGTACATTCATTTCATTGGAATGGCTGAACAAGATTTCACTCTTCCTTCTGTTCCCAATTTGGGAACATTTTTTTTCTCCTTAAGCTTACCCATACTAACTTGTTTTCTGATTGATATAAGTATATCTGTCATTGTCTATACTATTATATATTGACAATACAAGAGATCTTTCAACAGATAAACACTGCTGGCAACTTAGCTATACATCCTTAAGTACTTTTTGCTGATATCCTAAAATAGTTTAGCCCTAATAATTTCCTTGTATAGATTAAAAGAATGAATAATAATATAATTCACTAATGTACATGGAGAAAAATATAAGTATGCTGTATCTTAAACTCAGAAAAATTTCTTTTTTTCTTTTGTACTCTTAGGGAAGGGTCTATAGGGTGTTTAGGGTCTCACTACTAGATCAGACTGATAGTTATCCACCTGTTTACAGCCTCCCAAGAGCTGGGATTACAGAGGCGCACCACCATGCCCAGTCTCAATTGCCCTTTCAGTGCGCCCCACGGGTGGGGCTGGCAGGCAGGCCAGGGGATAGAACCCCCAGCCCCTGTGCCTGCTTACAGGCGCTTTAATCTGCTGAGCTATTTGGCTGGCCCTCGAAAAATTTCTTTCTTTCTTTCTTTCTTTCTTTCTTTCTTTCTTTCTTTCTTTCTTTCTTTCTTTCTTTCTTTCTTTTTTGGCAGAACCAAGGATTGAACTCAGGCCCTTGGGATTGCCAGCGAAGCGCTTATTCTACTGAGCCATCTCCCAGCCCCTGGAAATTTCTAAAAATTTTCATTTACTCTTAAAGAAACACAGGTACAAGAAGAAACTTTCTAACTCTTCAATTTCATATTATTTAAGAGCTTTAAGAGCACTGACTCATATGTGGATCTTTATAGACTTCAGAATTCAGTGCTTATAATATCTATAAAATGTTGCTGACAGAGTCAGCATTTTATAATAATACTTGGTACTATCATGTTGAGAACACCAAGTCAATTCTCTTTTCCTTGATACAAATAATCTGAAAAGATCAGTGTTTCTTGACTTTTTACTTCCCTTTCTAAGTTTATTCATTCTCTTTTCATTGGTGCCTCTTCCTTTGCTAAATCTATAAATGCTGATGTTTCTGAGGTTTCCAAGTCTAGATGACCTTCACTCTCTTTTGCTGCCATTCTTTATGGGTAATTTCATCCACTGCCACTTAATTCCTTAAGAAAAATATTTATTGAATATCTACAGTGTGCTAATACTATTCTAGGTACTAACAATAGACTAGTATATAAAACAAAGTTCATGCTTACAAAGTTCACATGTTAAAGAGAGGCTAGAATAAGTAAATAAACCATATGAAGTGGAAAAAGTGTTATGAATGAAATGAAACAGAATATTTGGACATAGAATATGAACCAGATAGTTGGTAAGAGGTATGTTGGTTTGTTTATTTATCTATTTTACAGCCCTGGTTATTGAACCCAGGGTTTTTGCCCTGAGCTATATCCTCAGCCTACTTTTTTTTTTTTTTTTGAGACAGGATTCACTAAGGTGTTAAGTTGTCCAGGCTGGGCTTGAACATGTGATCCTCATACCTCAACCTCACAAAGTGCTGTGATTATAGGCAGGTACCCACATGTTTGGCTTAAGAGGTATATTTTAAAGAATGTAATAAGAGCTGGTATTTCTATAGCTACCTGAATAATGATAGGGAGTGAACCACACAAAAGCTTAAAGAGAAAATAAACTCATCATACTCTAAGAGAAACAAAGTTCAGGGCAAGTGGAACAAAGAAAGTTTAGTCAGGTAGGCAGGGAACAAATCATTCTAGATTTTGTAAGCCTTGACAAGCACCCTAGATTTTACTCTGTGCACACATTGGTAGGTTATAAGAAGCATTTCATGATCTGCTTTATATCTTTAAAAAGAATTATAGGCAAGCATTATGAACCAGTTTAATCTGACTCCAGAGTTCAAAAAAAATTCCAGGCCAACTCCTGAAAGAAAATAAAAGAGTAAATCATTGTGACTTTGGGTTATACAGAGTTCTTAGAAATGACATCAAAAGCAAAATGACAAAAGAAAAAATAGATAAATTGAATTGTATTAAAGTTTAAAAAAATATGCTACAAAGGATACCACCTGAAAGGTAAAAAGGAGCCAGATGTGGTGACACACACTTGTAATCCCAACACTTGAGAGGCGGAGGCTGGAGATTCACAGCAAATGTGAGCCCACATCCATGAGTTCAAGGCCAGCTTGAATTATATTGCAAGACCCAGTCTCAACAACAAGAAGGGGGCGCCTGGGAGATGGCTCAGTGGAATAAGCGCTTCTCTGGCAAGCCCAAGGGCCTGAGTTCAATCCCCGA